ACCTTTTCTGTTTGGGAAAGCCCGAAACAATAACCATGTTTGAACGCTTTTCACCACCATTTTACCAGATCACATTCCAAGCATACTCCCACTGTCAGATACCAATAATTAAGAAACAATCCTCGAGTCACTCTCGCATGTATAGCCTACAGCAGCGGTCCCAAGCTTTTTCACTCAGGGGCCCACTTAAGATATCCAAAATGTTTTCGCGCCACATTCGAGAGACAGTAAACAATACAGAGTTAAGATAAAGATCGTGATGGGTCGATTCTAAAACGATGTTACACGTGTGAAACAGATCCGCTGCTAAGGAGGGATCAAGAAAGAGAAAGGAAAAGAGGTTCATAATGAAAATGTTTCCCACACAGAATCTATAATGTTTCGGGTGCAAATTATTTGGCGGCAAAGTTATTGGGATTTACATTTACACCCTGTTAAAGTGATATTTATTTGGGCTTTTAGATGAAATACAAACTATTCTTCTGCTTAAGAGATAGCATATTGTAAAATCGAATCAAGGAGTAATCTTAATTTAAGGTGTTCGAAGAGTAGATTAAAAATACAATTTATTTTGGAAAAAATGATTGCCACAAAAAATCCAAGGCTCATCACACCATGAAATAATGAGCTCTGACAAAGAGTGGGATTAAAGGAACAATAAATATGCTTGCCATGTTGTGTTTTTGGTGTTATTTGGTTGTCAACCTATTTTTGTTCGTGAATTGTTGAAGTGGTCCTACTGACTATATTTATTTATTCTGTTTTTGTTTTGTTGTTGTCTGAGATGGGAATGTCATCTCCTATATGTTATTGTTATGTCCATGTTTGTGTCTTTAGCCTGTACAAACAAAAACAAAAATTCTATATATATTTGGCGGCCCACTTGCAATGCCTTCGCGGACCACAAGGGGGCCGCGGCCCACAGGTTGGGAACATAGGTTGGGAACCGCTGGCCTACAGCCTTTGCTGTGTCTCTGTCCCTGTGATGGTTAATTGAAGATTGCTGTAGCTTGTCTGCAAACATCTTTCCATTTCACTGCCATGCCAGGCTTGTCTTTTTCCTCTGGACTTATTTTTAAACCTTGTAGCCAATTAATGCAATTTCACTGATTCTGCTTTAATCAATGATCTAGTAGTTCATGCTGTAAGACTTCACATCAAGAAACAGTTTTATTTGAGAAAATGTAAATTATCAACACCACATTTTGTCAACATCCGGTTCTGTATATGTTATAAATAACTGTTAGCTTTACAAATCTAATCACAATATTTATTGAACTGAAGGACTTTGGCTGGGGTAGTTCTGGCCTACCAAGTGTGCAATAGTTAAGGAATCACGGCTCTGCTGCATTTCTATTACAATCTGTTCTCTCTTTCTTTCTCACTCGTGTCTGTGGTGAAAATGTGACAGCTTTTTGTCTGCGGTTACCGAGTAAAGGATGTATTAGAGGGCATGTCATGGTTGCAGTTCCTGCTGCTACTGATAGAGGTTGCTAGAGCTCCTGCATCACTTCAATGAGCGGTTTGCTCTTAAACAAAATCGTTTCAATATTTACACCCTATCATTATACAGTGCTGGTCACAACTCAGACTTATCTCTTTCTGTTCAAATTACGGCGTAATTCTTTTACTGCTTGAAACAACAGAATCACAATGTAAGAGCATCTCTAACCAGCTTTTGCAGTATGTTTCAGGTGTCTGATATTGACCTAATTCACTCTTACTTTGCTTACATACAATGGATTAGTAAAGAAGTAACTAACATGAGCTCCCAGCAGTAACACCGGATTCTTTCTTTTTATTCATGGATTTATTTTGCTTTCATATTTTATGTTTGGAGCTCTGCAAAGATGGCTGGTTTACCATCATTAGTATACAGGACCAGGATCAGCTAATGAAAGCTGGGTATATGTTTGGCAGTTGTATGACATTTTTTAAATTGGCAATGAACACTTCTTCTCATGCTGCGAACTAATGATGAAGTTATCTGGGTGCAACTTGTCTCAGATGATGTTTTTATGAGAAGTTAGGTGTCGTATGTACTCTGGCGTTGTTGCTTGGCCCTCCCTGTGTAGCTGTCATGAGCCCCCTGGGTCTGACAACCTGCTGTCCTGTCACCCCCAGCCAGAGGCTCAGGGCCTCTCTTCTGTCCTCACCAGGAGTGATGGCACAGATTTGAACGTTGAGCAGAATGACCTCAGTCTTTCACACTACCTCCCATCCAGGGATTTGATATTCTCCTGATTCATTGTTCACAAGGACAGAGACAGCCCCATGGTCATTTACGTGGGAGTCATAAAGCCAATAAATCAAATAGGAATTAATGGGACAAGCTACATAGTGCACCGTTTGGCTTTCTGATGTACGAGCTGGCACAACAGAGCTGGTTATTTTTTACCTATATGTTGAATGCCTTGTGTAATACAATATGATGATGATTATTATGCATTTTTGTGTGAGTGTGTTTTATAGCCTAAAAATAGAAACAGAAAAACTTGCTTTGATTATGGCGATTGGTACGAGGGGCTCACAAGATGTATAGTAGGCTGGATGAGGATGAAAAGAAAGGAGCTCTGCTGCCCAAATATGCATTTATATAATCCAATAGTTTTTTTATTTGCTCTATTAAAGTGGACCTATCATGCTATATTTGAATAATATAGTGTAGGACCATACCTCTATAAGGCATATTTATACTTTTTATTTTTCAAAATACCAAACAGATCATGCATTTTAGCCATTCCTCATTTTGCTCAATTTAACACTGTCTTTGCATGGGCTGATTCTGTGAGAACAGCACCATCTACAGGCCTGGCATATGTACTACAGCGTCTCCAGCGCTTTCCAACGGCAATGTCCGTGGCTGTCTCCTCCTGATTGGTGGAGTTGGCCCAATAGCCGTAGCGCCTCTTCTGTGACGTCATAGAAGTGTTCAAATCTGGATCAGTCTGTATCAGATCCGTTGCATCCCCTTTTTTAGAGATAAAAGGAAAATAGAGAGGGTTGTGTTTTCTGACACTTTGTGAGTTCCCTGGAACACCGGGGACACATGTTCATGTATAAAAGAGGTAAAAAGTGCATTTTGCATGATAGGTCA